TTCCTATCATTGCATTAAATGATTTAATTTTCTATTTTTTTAGTATATAAAAAAAGATTGAGAGACAACACATTAAGGTAGTGCCAAGCAGAGGACGATACTTGGTTATTGAATGTTAAGTAGATGTGATAACGGGATAGTATATTATAAAATTCAGGTTAAATATTTTCTCTAGATGGTAAGCTCACACGACGGGATTATCACACATACATACCCAACAGCCAGGGCTCGTTGGAATAGTCTTGATTTTCCGAATTAATTTTGAAAAAAGAGAACTTTTGTTAATTATTGATCTACTCCCACCTAACTACGATGACCAACGAAACAATGGTGCGAACATAAAGGAATATAATTGAATATACAAATCAAGAAATAAAAAATAAACATGAGGTATAACAAGAGGCTAAATAATCAGACAAAGTAGTTTGTAGTGTACATTGTTTAGTACATTTCATTTGCACTTGATTTCGTTTCATAGCATTTGTGTGTGTGTGTGTGTGTGTGTGATGTATCTGGCTATATTCTCTTTTACTATTATAGTAGTACGAAGCAGCATTTGTTTAACCAGTCGGATTACCAATAACACTCTAACTGATTTTATTGTTGGATTATATTGCCCAAAACTTTAGTGTTCAATGTGAACTTACTTATTTTTTTCTTTCTTTATTCATTCAGTTATTGGATACGGGGTTGATATCTCGGATATTTCCCAGCAAACAATTCAACATTTTAAAAACGTTTTAAAAATGTTTTGTTTTGGTTTCTAGAATGTTTTATTAAAACGTTTTAAAAACCAAAATTTGTAGACTCTTATAAATGTTTCAAAAACATTTTGAAGAAACGTTATTTTGGAACATTCAGAAAACGTTGAAATAAAGTTTTATGAAAAACGTTTCTGTCAACCTCCAACAAACGTTTTCAATACATTTGTGTAACAATGATGCATTAGTGCGACCACCATTACTTTGGTTTAAAAATATATAATTGATTGTGCACGTGTTTAGTTGAAGAAAAAGCAACATCTCCATAAGCTTGGATGGATGGTTGGTTGTTTAACGACCAGTGGCAAGTCAGATGCATATTCTGGATGAGAACATGATTATTAAAAATTAATACCCTGTCTTGTAATACACCAACATGTTGTGCCAGATTTTTTGGTTCTAGCCCACAAGGCAAGTTTGCAGGATGACATGTCACATTATTCTGACTACGGGCCAAGAAGTCTTTGCTCTAACTCATTTTGGGGAGAAGCAACAAATAATAATTTTATTGTCATTGGTTTGGCCCGGCCGAAGTTCCAACCCACAACCTCCGCACTTGAGGCGACGACACTGACCATTACACCAAAGCTCTAAAGGAAGATATTCTTTATAAAAAAAACTATGCCAAAGCAAAGCTTGTCAACCTCTGTTTAAACTTGGTCCTGTGACCTTGAAAGTCAATTCAATAAGGTTCTTGCATTGACAAGGAGATAACATATCTCTTAAACCGAGAATTTGACATATTATCATAATAACTTCAATCAATGATCTAGTTTATAACCAAAGCTTCAATTGTTGCAGAAATTGGAATATAGTTTTATAAACATCTTTAATCACTTTGCAACAAAAAAAAACAGTATTGACAGGACTAAAATCAGTAGAATCAATGTACTTTTAAACAGATTTATTTGTTCAGACTCCAATTCTTCTTGCGCAATCGTCTGTCCTTTTCTTACAGGTTTCTGAAATGATCAAAAGCAATTTGTTAACGATATCAGTACGCCCAAGTACACTGTTTAGCATATAACTCTTAACCCCAGTTAGTTGTTGTACTCCCTTTTAATCAAGCTATTTCATTAAATCTATAAAGGGGAAATTATGCTATTTTTTGCAATCCAAGTAATTATTAAGATAGGCAAAAAACATAAATAATATTTTACATGTCAAAAGCAATTGCTACAAATGTAAATCTCAATATTTTACTTGCAGGATAAAGACAATAATTCCATCGTCAAGAACATAATGTATTATTCTAATGTCTCTAAATAAACAGAAGTTCTGCATGGTTGGCAAATGTTATATTGCTATAAGTGGCTCAGAAATTTGTGTATAGATATTCAAATTGCAAAAATAAACTTTTAAATAAATAAAACCTTCCACTTAAACGTATATTAAGATATTTTATTCAATTGAAAAATACCTTATATTTTGGTCCTCCTGGTTTGTGTGGGGCCTATTTTAGGATTTCAATTAAGACTCCCTCCATATCGGAAACCTTGGATTTTGGGAACACTCTTGTACAACTTTCTGAAAAAGTATTACAGAATTAAAAAGATATATTTCATTATTATTTTTAACTTCTTTAAACTTTTATATATATATATATAATAACTTTATGTAACTTTATGTTTCTACCTAAAATAATAAGTGAGAAACATTATATTCATATTCATCATATGAATTCTTTTTGAGATTAAAGTCAGATAAAAAAACCAATCTATATTAATGGCACTTGCTTTTAAATGTTCCGACATATTTTCTTAATCAACTTACTCATGATTATCCTGCACAAAGGGTGACCTGTGAATGCCTCTTTTCCCTTTTGCCCCTTCAGACTGTATTTGGTCCATAACTGATTAGTGCCACACTTCTTCATCATCCTTCCTATACAGTTTGAAGGGCTGTGACCACCCTGTGACACCAAATACTGGACCTACAAAATTACAATTTAGTCCCGTTGTTATTTATTTTTCGTGAAATCAAATATTTGTTTTATAAATAATCGTGTCCATGAACCAATCTTAGCAAAACCTACTAATATTATTATTTTATTTATTGTCCGTATCGAGTTTCTATAATGATTTTCCATGTATCGCTGTGTATACGTTATATGCAATTTTATATGCATTTGAATGTTTGTCTTCAATTACAGGTTTATTCTATTAATGCATGATTTTTTTATTCATATATATAGCATGTTTCGCTTATATATATTTACTTTAAATTAATATATATTATCTTTAACTGTTAAAATCTGATTTGACCTTTTCTCGGTAGATTGTTCTGGTGTTACATTATAAACTTTTACACATCTATTTATTTGAAAGGATTTTCCCAACGTAAATGATCTGTGGTAATCAACACTGGTCGTATATGAATTTCTTTAATTGATGATATTACACCTGGTGTTTCGGATATCATTCAGTTCAAGTTCGACCAAGGCCGTTCATCCTCGTCAGGTGCCCTTGCGTAATATTTTTATTTACTATAAAATTTGATTATGATTACTTTTTAACTATTATCAATATGTTTCTATCGTGTAACATATCAAATGCAGTTACATTTTGTGGTAATACTGAATTGTTCATGACTGGCAAGTTACAATTAATTTTAGTCAGACATAATCACATAAGATATTTTGTAAAATGAGGCCCAGCACTGGCAGCACGGCTATGGGTAGTCCAAAAACAAATATGACGTCTTGAAAGGATATTTTTGATTTTTGCTGTTGCTACGAAGTTGGAGGAGGGCGTCCACATTTTTTTTTGTCAAGAAAGCCTTACAAAACGTCATTATTATTTGACTACGCTCTGGGTAGTTTAAATGATTAATTATGCTGTCTTCGGAGGCTTGTTTTTATTTAACTCGTGTAAAAGTCAGACCAGTAGCCAACGAGGCATGACAAATTGACACGTGATGGCATCATGCAGTGGTAAATGTGAATTTATGCCTGTACTGTAGTTGTTAAATCTGTTAATCATGTAAATAGACTCATGCAAATCATACGAATGTCATGGAGAAAATAATGCAGTAATTTGTCTCAATTTCTTCAAAATACATCGAATGTTCATTGTTTTTATACATACCTCATAGACTGAACGCTATTCTGTAGAACTGCTCTTCTAGCATGTCTAGTGTCGTTGTTTTCCCAATTTAAAAAAGGCGGCGAGAGTATCCGGAAGTTTCGAACAAATTTTATCTAATGAAGAATTCTGCTTTAATACAAATTATTGTCGTAAATAATACATGTTCTCAATTAAAATGTCTATCTTCGAATATGATAATACTTTAGAGATGCGATAAATGGAAATATAGAAATAAAATACGAAACTAACTAATAAGTTACAACTGGTTCCCGGTTCTACAGAAAAGAAACCAGTTATTAGAATTCAAGAATAATTTTTTTGACATAACATATCATCATATCGACAGATCGAAGATGACTTTTTGTAAATTAAAAATTAAAAGTAATTATTAAAAACTAAAATATTGCGGTGATATGGGAAACATGATTTATAAAGTTTTTCTATACTTATTAAAAAACATTTTTGAAACATTATTAAAAAACAAAATTAAAAACGTTGTTTTAAAATGTATTATTTATGTTCATCAAAAACATTTTTGAAAAAATGTTTTTTTTAAGTTTAAAAAATGTTTGCAGAAACATTTCTACTATAGTTACAGAAAACGTTTCAATTTAACCTTTTAAAAACATTTCTTAAACGTTCTTTCGACACTAACTTATTTGAAACCTTTAAAAAACGTTTCTAAAATGTTCTGTGTTTGGTGGGTTCACATCGATTCATCTGCTATTGGACTGTTAGTCCCCGTTGTTATCACCAGCCCAGTAGCCAGTACTTTCGTATTGGCATGAACATACGGATATTGTTTGATTTGAATTTGCTGTTATAAAAGTTTGAAAATCATTTCAAATTAAGGAATATGTATCCTTCATGCAAAGCTCTATTCTTTGTTCGGATTTGGATATACTTAAGTCATACAAAGCTCTAATTCTTTGTTCGGATTTGGCTATACTTTAGTCATGCAAAGCTCTATTCTTTGTTCGGATTTGGCTATACTTTAGTCCTTTTTGGTTTGATCAGTTCTTCAACGTTTGTATAAGTTTTTGTTTTCAAATGTTTGAACCAGGAGCATCCATGTAGAGACATTTATTGTCGAAATGCGCATCTGGTGCACAATAAAATTGGAACCGCTAATGTTAGGCTCAATTGAAACCAGTTAAACGAAACATTTATTATATAGTAAAATGTGTACAAAAAATACAAATATTAAAAAAAATATTTTCACAAAAGCATTTCTACCCATACATAGACATGTTCTTGTCTTATCAGCAGAAAATAATCACTGAAAATACATTACATTACAATTAATACCTATAAAAATCTCCTTGGTATCAATGTTAAGTAAAAACAAGAAACTGAGTAAAATGCCATAATAATTACATGTACAGTCAATACAGTTTATCTGAGTAAATACTATTTAATAATATTGAACACAAACCTTTCTTTCACAAAAATCATTATTAGCCCTAGACGTTATTTGTCTTCTCATTAAAAAAATAATTAGAAACAATACATCATAATACAATTGATTGATATAGTAAGTCAATGATAAATTTCTCTAATATCTATATGAAATAATACAACACTGATTCAATGTCTATACACTTACACTTATTATGTATAAAAGGCAACAGTAGTTTACTAATGTTCGATGCATACCATGTTTGTATATACTTATATTTTTTCCTTTTCTTACTAAGACGAAACTACTATAACAATTCGTGAAACTAATCTCAGCATACTTATGCCAAACAGTTGACCCGAAAACTTCAATCTAAAAAAAGGATTCGCATAATATGGGTTTGTTGTTCTCTGAACTAGTTTTATGCATGCATTTCTGGGGAACTATGCATCTTTTAACTCATTCTTAGGAAGTTAATGTCTTATTACTCATTCTTAGGAAGTTAATGTCTTATTACTCATTCTTAGGAAGTTAATGTCTTATTACTCATTCTTAGGAAGTTAATGTCTTATTACTCATTCTTAGGCAGTTAATGTCTTATTACCTCGGAACACAGTACGATTGCAATCTTAGTTTATTCCTATCATCTAAAAAGTGGTAGATAATTGTTTCACCCTTAAAAGTTCATGGCTGAAATCGGATGCATTGTTTTGCATTAGGACACACCAACAAATGTTCAAACAGCATTTTCTGTAACTGTTCCTTCTCTTCAGTGAGTTCTTTTATTTCGTTTATCTTTTTCATATTGTCAGCTTCTTGCTCTTGTATTTTCTACAAACAAAATATCAGATTGATTTTAGTATGATAATATGCAGATCAGGATACAAAATGATAATAACATCATGGTATTTTACCTACTAGTATTTTTGAATTGTAAGGAAACTTTAAGCAATTTCGTCAATCGTATGATGATTAAAAAATCCACAAAACAAAATAAGTATATTTTCAAAACAAATTTTTGTTCTCGTTACTAACCTTGAAAAGTAGCGATGAAGTAATTTTCTTCTTTTCACGAAACCTATGTGCTGCTTGTCTGTTTTGTTCACGACGTCTGTCAATTTTCATCTGTTCTTCCACTGTCAGCTTAAATAAAATTGTATATTATGATATTAATCATGACAAAATTCTTGTAGTTTATTTTGAAAACAGATATAAAAAAAATCCTAATCCCGATATTGGTATTTTGACTAAGTGTGGATTCGCATTGCGGGTGACGCATGCATAGCAACAGCAGACGCTTATCCTTTGGGAGCACCCTGTCTTGTTTCTTTTGTGGTTCATGTGTTTCTTTTAGTTTTTTGTTTGTTAACTTGATTTCCGTTCTTAATTGTGATTTTGACATCGGTTAACTAACTTTGCTTCATATCATTTCATAACTTACCATGCAAATCTCTGATTCCCTGTCAGAATTTTGCCTAACTTTAGACTATTTTTGGTTTGATAAGCTTTTCCAGGTTTTTATTAGGTTTTCGATTTACAAATATTTTGGCCTCGAACATCACTGAAGAGACATCAATTGTCAAAATGCGCATTTGGTGCAGTAAAATTGGTACCGTTTACGTTATTACCACTAGAATATTACTTTTCAGTCATACTATGGGTATCACTGGTACTACAGGAATACTTTTTTACCAAACTTTTAGTGAGTTTCATAAAATGTAGTCGTTAGCTTACCGTCTAATGGTCTTTAGATTAATGTTTTGTCTTTTCAATCCATTTTCTTTGGCCATGGCCTAATCTTAATTTTTTTTTAATTTACTTCTTTATTTTATTGACCCTCCGTATTTCCTTAATTTGTATGTACAATCATAAAATAAGGAGATGTGATATGAATGCCGATATCATGAGACCACTATCCATATAAACCAATGGATAAAGATAAAATTAATTTAATTTTATAAGAATATGCTGCACAGCATAGATCATTATCGAATTTTCATATTAATTATGCATACGAGGTGGATCGAAAATTTGAATGTTAGGATTTTTCTTTTACCTCATATATTTTTTCCTCGGGAACCTCAACTTTTAGTTCCTTTTGTCCTTGTTTGTGTCGTCTAGACTGTATTGTGTACTTTAAGTCTTCTTTAATCAGTGGAGCCAGATTACCAGTTTCCAAAGCTATTAATGTAGCATCAAGCAACGTGTTGTTGTTGTTTTCCAATTTCAAAATATCTCCCCAAGATTCCTCTTCAACATTCTGTAAGTTTGTATTATCGATAGCGAGCATTTTGTATAATATTCACTAAAATAAAACAAAAGATATTTCATTAACAGAAGTTTGTGTACTACAAGAAGTTATTAAAACTACTGAATTAGATGTTGACCTTTACTAATTTAAATACATGTCATGATATTTTAAATATTTCGTTTACTATCCTTTGATATATGTAAGTGTAATAAGAAAGGATACCACAGCAAAATATATACTCAGAAAATTCTGTAAATCTTTCGACAGTTTCTTTTCCCTTACTTACTCAGCATTTGTTATACACATGCGCACACGTAACTTTATACGATATTGGGTTAGGTTTACGTCGTCACTATCGTAAGCTAAGCGTTTTCTTGTGATATAATTAGATACGAAAAGAACTATAACTCCTACTCGGTTTTGAATGAAGACTAAGCAGGATAATGTTACTGGTAATTTCTGATTACTTTTTAAACAAATATGATACTTACAATATGTGTATCTACTCAAAGTAATTAAAACTGCATTTGAATTCAATTTGCTTATCTTTTCGATTTTTATTACAGAAAAAAATAACAATTTCGCACTGTCAAAGAAATGTCTATGATCAATTTCTAAATATGACGAAACTAAAAAATTGCGATTCGACCATTGCATGTAGGATCGACAAATATTAGCATAGCTAAAAGAAGAGACGTAAAAGTGCAACAAAAATGTATGCGTTCTCTGTGCTTTTCTTGGTTTAACTTCACCAGAAACGCTCAAAACCAAACAAAATTAAATCAAAGAAAGAATAAGACCCTCAAATTGTGAACAGACATATGACCAAAAAGGGACCTTAAAATAATAGCCAAAAATCCATCTAAGGTCAACTTTGCCAGAGTGAGTTCGAACCCTAATTTCATACACAACAAATTTGATATATCAACATAGTATTCCAGAAAGGTTTGTTATAAAGCATGCCAGTACCGAAGCACTGAGCTGATGATACCCTAGGGGACTAATAGTCCACTATCAGCGATATCGACCTAGTGCTAAAAATGAAAATAATGCTAAATAAGTTGTATCAATGTGAAGCTCTTTTCTGTATGTGCATTCATCAAGAACGCTTAATGTCAAACAATTGAAAGTCAATGATGTAAAAGAGCTATATGACCAAAGAGATCCTACAAATAAATAGCCAAATCCATCTCAGGTCAACATTGCTTATAGTTCACACAATTTTATTATCCTAAAAACTATTGAATTAGCTAATAATCCTCTGGAAGGATAACTGCTTTTGTTTGAGCTACATACACTGTAGATTTAATGTTATGAAATGTTCAATTATTCGAAAAACTAAAGTTTTTCTATCACCATGCCGTAGGCATATTTGACACAACTTTTCGGTTTGTTTGGTTTCCAAAGCTTTCGAACTTCGTTTTGATTTGAGCGTCACTGGGTAGTCTTACGGTAACAATACGTGCGTCAGGCGTACCACATTACAATCCTGATATCTTTGATGAATTTTTACATTTACATTCATTTTAAAGTTAAATATTTAGATGCAATACAAAAATACATCCCGATGTATGATTCTTTGGTTACCTTCGTGTAGCAGCATAGTTCGACTCTCTTTATGTTTTGTTTCTGCTGCACAATTTTATTTTTCATCATGGGCTTTTTCTAATGTTTTTTTTTCCTTGTTGGGCTGGGGTTGTGTTAATTGTCTTACTTTGATTTAATGTTTTTTAACCCGAATTTGGTTTCGTCTGAATTTTTCCTTACGGTGTAATACCACCAAATCATAGTACGTCACATCCGGTTGCATACGAAAATAGGTCGAAAAAAAGTATTCCCTGAATTTGACAGTTGTAGGTAATTGATCCTACGTTTCATTGCAGTAAAACATTTCTGGGTCATAAACATATATCTTGGGTAATTCAAAGCACCATTATTTTTTTATTTGGGGTTTCTATAGAATATTTTGGAAACTTGAGGTTACATGGTTACTAAAGCTTGTACACAGGTTAAAAAGGGGGGAAAATTTGATTGGTTAACTTCCAGTGATGGTTATTTTCTTATATACAATGAAATGTTATGTGAAATTCTTCTATAGTACTGGACAGGATAAAACTTTACTCATGCCAAGTATTTCTTTATTTGAAACAAAGATAAATTCTGCACAATTTTTTGAAAAGTGCAAATTTTTAACAAAGACTAATAGTGGAAAATCAATGGTGGTATTACACCTTAACTATCGTGATATAAAATTGTCAAACACAAAAGTCACCGTTAATTCTTTAAAATCTCGAGTTTAAAATCATGTTTTTAACCCCTTTGTTATTTTTTGACCGTTTTCTGAATTAAGGCGATATATATATGCCAACATCTTTTATAAAAAGGCATGGTAACACTAAATAAATTATTATTTTCCATTATGCTTCTAGTCAGAAATACTTTGTATTCGTAACCCTCATTTCGTATTCTGACATTTAGAATTTCTAACGTGTCTGAACATGCTAACTTCGAATAATTTCGAGGGTGATTCCCCTTTTGCCGCTAGAAAACTGGATATCATTAATCAATAACAGCTTTAATTTTTAACATTATGCAAACGAATGATACATGTAAATATATGAGAAAAGCATGTAAAAGTTACTGTAACTTTCGAGAAAATATTTTCTGATGAAATAATTATCTAGGTCAATGTTATATGCGTAGACGGCGAAATGTGTATTGTGTATCTATATTTGTAATAAAATTGGTATTTATCCAGAATAATCTTTGATACTATTATTGAAAGTCTCTAATATAATATTGATTTCTTAAATATAGCATTCTAAAATGTATCATACTATTTACATTCATATAATCATATATATATGATATAATTATAAATAATGACAGCTTAATTTATATTGTAGCTTTGTTGTATATTTGCACTTTTCAATAAAGCATGCTATTTGGAAATGTACACTTACATAATATTGCCTCAGATATTGAACATTTATACGTTTGATTCTTTCAAAATTGCCTCGTCATGTGTAAAACGTATATGAAACGTTCTGTGTTTATATTTACATTGTGAGGATTCCAACGGAAAACACCTTTTTCTATAAATATAACATATTTAATTAAAGAATTTCGATCATTCCATAGATATATATTTGCTGTAGGCTAATAGTTCAATCGGGAGAATGTTTATTGGCATAATGAATCAGTTTTCTATGATTGTTTTACGTATCAAATTACATTGTAGTATAATGTATCTATTAAAATCTTATTTCATAATTTCTCTACCCTGCGGCTAAAACAAACATCTTGAACATGTTTAAACAGGAAAAGCTATTAATATAAAAACTTCAAGTAACACCCTGATATTACATATTTGATGGATTTTTTTTTCTTCAGCCTTCCAAAGATTACTGAAAAATAAGAGTTACTCTGATTTATAAGTATAAGCGTTGTTATGTAATTTCACTTATTTCTGTTTAGTTTCATCAGACAATCAAATGATGCAACATGTATTCTGTATGATTCAAAAAGCTGTCGTTCTATAGATCTTTTTCATACATTTTGACCAAAATAATAATATTATATCTGTTAAGTAAATAATTTGTAATTTTAAAGATACAGCATTGTTAGTACATTAACCATGCATACGTCTCCTTGAATATTTTCCAACATTGTCATGCCAAAATGAGAAACATGTGTTTACCTTCTTACACTCTTACTACTATTGTTTACTGTAACTGGATGCATTGGTTTAGATGTGACTTCGATTAACATGTCAAACCTCACTGTATGTTAGTGTGCATGTTACAATGCAGGAACCATTTCAGAGGTTGTCTTTAACATTATCTTATTTTACATTTTTTGAAAAGGTATTAACAAAAATAACGAACTCCCAGGTCAACTCAAAAATTGGGATATCCATAAAAACTGACAAAAACAAAAGTTAAACTTTATCAACCAACAGACCGAATGGAGTTTGAACTCCGAAATAGTTTGTTGCCCGAATTGATAACTTTAAATGTTTTCATGTTTCTTCCCTCATTTATGTTTAATTTCTTCAGACGAAGAAAGTATATGTTTTGTATGATACAAAACTGTTGCAATATTAATATGTTTTCATATATTGTGACTTAAAGGGGAAGATATATGAATAAAAAAAATAAATTTGCAGTAGAATATCTGTTCAGTTAACGGTTTGCAGATAAATCTAATTGGTTACTATATTAATCATACCAGTTTCGGCATTAATATTTCCCTCTATTGCCATATAAGGCTACACATCAATGAGAAGCATGTTTTACATTCTTATACGCCAATACTTATCTCCTATTCTTATACGCCAATGCTTATCTCATATACTTATACGCCAATGCTTATCTCCTATTCTTATACGCCAATGCTTATCTCCTATTCTTATACGCCAATGCTTATCTCCTATACTTATACGCCAATGCTTATCTCCTATACGTATACGCCAATGCTTATCTCCTATTCTTATACGCCAATGCTTATCTCCTATACTTATACGTCAATGCTTATCTCCTATACGTATACGCCAATGCTTATCTCCTATTCTTATACGCCAATGCTTATCTCCTATTCTTATACGCCAATGCTTATCTCCTATACTTATACGTCAATGCTTATCTCCTATACGTATACGCCAATGCTTATCTCCTATTGAAGAAAGAAAGGAAGAATCATACAAAAAAATCACTAAAAGCTGTATTCAAATTGCAAAAATCTTTATCATCTTCCAATCCAAGTATTTCTACTCTATTACATAAATATGGCCATACAATAATGTATGACAGTGAAATTACAGGTATGTTTAAAACTAGCTCTGCACCATGCCAGAAAGAAAGTGAATATTTATTACAGCAAATTTATATTTTAGATAAATCCAATTTAAGATATATGAAGTATATTTTAGGTGTAAACAAAAAGTCTTCTAACCTAGCTGTGCTAGTAGAATTTGGTAGATTCCCTTTATATTTTTCAGTTGTTTTATCAATGATGAAATATTGCTTTAGAATAAAAAATATGAAAGATGGTTTACTGTACGATACCTATATGTGTAACAAAAACATGTTTACTAATAATATTGAATGCTGGTATTCATCCGTACATTACATTTTTAAAAAGCTGAATATTCATAATTTGGAGGTAAAGCTTAACGTTTTTATCAAGTCAGTTAAGCAAAAACTTTGTAATAGTTTTGTAAAATTTTGGAACACAAAAAGAACAGATGCAAGAGTAGTAAATTAGATACTTATTTCAAACAAAAAACTTGTTTTTCTAAAGAAATGTATCTATCATTAAACAATTTTCAATTGAGAAGTGCTATATGTAAAATCAGAATCAGTGCCCATGATCTCAAAATAGAAAGAGACAGGTATAAAACTTTATATATAGAAAGAGACCAAAGGCTTTGTAAGAAATGTACTCTAAATCTGGCTGAAGAAGAACAACATTTTATTACTAGTTGTCCAGCATACAAAGATGATAGGGAGATATTTTTCAAGGAGATAAACAGTATTTGTCCTAATTTTTCATACCTCTCAAATGAGGCAACATTTGTTTGGTTATTTACTAATGAAAATTTGTCTGTACTTAAATATTTAGGGAACTATATTATTACATGTCTAGATGTTAGACGAAATGTAAATTAATGTATGTAATAACAATGATAATTGTAATGATTTTATGGTTCTGGTCCTGCTGGAATTAAATGTATGTGATTTATATAGAATGGAGAAAATAACATGTCTGAATTTTTTAATGTTTCATTTTTATGTATTAAAAAAAAGTTTTTCTGTTACAAATCATGATGTATTGTTTAATGTGTACATGCCATGCTGCCCATCAAGGGCCCTTGATTGGAATAATAAATATTCTTATTCTTATTCTTATACGCCAATGCTTATCTCCTATACTTATACGCCAATGCTTATCTCCTATTCTTATACGCCAATGCTTATCTCCTATTCTTATACGCCAATTCTTATCTCCTATTCTTATACGCCAATGCTTATCTCCTATACTTGGACAAGTTGTGTTTTTTAACCCATTACCTGTTAATGTGCCTTTGCTAAGGACCAGTGACCGTGGCTGTTTGGTGTTTCATGTAACAAATATAAACATCTCCTTGTATTCAACCCTCATTTTAGTCAAATTACATGTTCTTACATGAACAGATGTCGGACTAAGTGAATATTTTTTAATTATTTTTTTCAGCTGGTCGTAGTATCCATGGAATGCTAACTACATTTATGCGAAAAAAGGCAAATATTTTACGTGTAAAGCATAGCATTTACTCGTACTTTGATTTTTTTTATTCGTGTAAGTGTGCTTCTTTTGTAAAGTTGGTTTGCATTTCAACTGAGACTAATCAAACTAAACAAAAGTTAAAGCGTTTGATTTCATGGAATTCTTACAAAGGAACAGGTATCACGTATTTAGTTAAAGGTTAATTACTTCAATTTATTTAGTTTTATATACGTTCATACTTTTAAGAAATATATAAGAGAGAAAACATCAAGGAGGCAGAAAATCAACGTAAATACCAAATGAGAACTAAAGATAAACAAACAACCTTCAATTATATGTTGAAGATTATGCCATACGTCAAGTTCGCATCACTCTGAGACAAGTACGCCTTTAGAGTTGGCGGTGATATAAAAAAATATATAGCCATCCCTGGACTTCTCCCGACCGTCGTTTAAAAAAAACATGCTATAGAGGGAGTCCTTATGGTTGTACGGATGTATAAATGCGCAGTCACGTCCTATCGGAATGGGGACAATAAATCTGATTCTTGTGTAGGCAGACTGCTACGCTCTATGCACGTTGAAGAACCCTTACAACAGCTCTTTTGGGGATCATTGGGTTGTCTGTCTCAAGACAAAATTTTGAACAATCCAAAATACGCCTATTTTCCGCCCTTTATCCCGGTCGACTCACTTTGCACAACCTAGTGTCATCGGACGTTAAGCAAATACAACCAATCAATCATTTAAACAAGTGTTAATAATTTTTTTAACAGAAGTTGATAAAGATCTGCGATCAATATGCTTTTAAGTTAGATATAATATTGTTTCAATATGTATTGCTCCTATCAAACGTTTTGCTTCCGATCTTCAACCGAGCTCAACTAATCATATTTTCACTATTACTTTACAGATATTAATTGGCCTCGAAATAAAAGTTGTCGATCAACAACGATCGGAATATATAAGTTCGCTCCTTGTGTCGTTGAAATAAGGGAGAGAAGTACAACCCAACCCACAAATGTGTAATGATGAAATATATTTTCAATGTGTTGGTTAAGGTAGTGTAATTGACAGGACATGCAGTTAATTGAACTTGTCTTACAGTGTATAATGCATGATTTTGTATATTTTTTTCTCGTTATGACTACATGCTTTCTATCTTGATATATTCCCTCGAATCTTTCAATAACGATTGTATTCGATAAACACATTTTATATGTTGTGTTTTAATATTGTATCAACTTTTTAAAACATTTTTTTTTAATGTCTCATTGGCTCATCATACCACATCTTCTTATTTTCAGACAGGGGAAATTTCGAGGTTATTCCCCTTTTACCACCAGGAAAGATCATTATAAATTTGAATAACTGCACGTTTGACCAGCTATAATTGTATTGTTTTAACATTTTATTTATAAGCATTTTGAGATAAAAATATGAGAGTAAAGGTTAACTCGGTTTTCTGATGAAATAACAATCAAGGTCAACGTTGTTTGTGTAAAATAAAACTGTATTGTGTGTTTCGCGATTTGGATATAAAACTTATAAAATCGATATCATAATTGAACGCCTCTAAATATAATATTGGTTGAGATCACTTTAATAATTCATTCTTATCTACAAAATTATACCTGTCAAATTTTTAATCATGTATAAATAAGAACTATGACATTTGATTCTTATTGTAATTATGTTTTACATTCATATATATTATTCTAAAATGTGTTATTTGAAAACATACACTTACATTGTCTCTGATATAGTACATAAATTCGTTTGCTTCTTTCAAAATTGCCTCGTCATGTGCAATACGTATACGAAACGTTTTGTGTTTATATTTACCTTGTGAGGATTCCAAAGGAAAACACCTGTTTCTATAAATATAACATATATGATTAAAGAGCCTTGTGGTTATAAGTCATGGCATGACTGTGGAACTGCTGTAGGCTATTAACAAGTTTCAGGAAGATGAAACGTTTATTGCTAGAATTGAAGTAGTTTTCTACGAAATGAAATGAACTGATTGTTTTTGTAATAACGTACAACTTTCTGCTTCATTTGCATTAAAATTTGTGCATTTTACAACTTCTTTGCTGTAACGCATACAAAATTAGCATGAAACGTTTATGTTTACAAATAATAATAAATAATTGAACTATTCATTTTTTAATCTTTGATATTATCTTTTTCCAATCTTTGAGAGATTACCGAAATCATGTACGCACGCTTATAAAAAATATTTAAACAATTTGATTAATATCATACATGTTCTTCCTGTAAATTATTTTGTTTAAAAATGTGTTCAACTTGTTATAAACATTCACATTAGAGATGTAGCCCAATCCCGTTCTTTTTTTCTTCAATGTATTGAAGTTTGTCCGTTTATAAATTTATAAAAGATTAAGAAACTAAGGTTTCAACTCCATCAGGCAAAGTTGACCTTAGATGAATTTGGCTATTATTCAAGGTAATTTTGGTCATATAGCTCTTCAAGTGTTTCGAGTCTTATACATCTTTGGCCTTGCCCTTCAAATTTTGACTTTGAGCTTTTCTAATGAAGTTAAATCCAGAAAAAAGCAACTATTTTATGGAGTGTTATTTTCATTTACTAACACTAGGTCGATTCCTCTGCTAGTGGACACATCTTACTAACACTAGGTCGATTCCTCTGCTAGTGGACACATCTTACTAACACTAGGTCGATTCCTCTGCTAGTGGACACATCTTACTAACACTAGGTCGATTCCTCTGCTAGTGGACACATCTTACTAACACTAGGTCGATTCCACTGCTAGTGGACACATCTTACTAACACTAGGTCGATTCCTCTACTAGTGGACACATCTTACTAACACTAGGTCGATTCTTCTGCTAGTGGACACATCTTACTAACACTAGGTCGATTCCTCTGCTAGTGGACACATCTTACTAACACTAGGTCGATTCCTCTGCTAGTGGACACATCTTACTAACACTAGGTCGATTCCTCTGCTAGTGGACACATCTTACTAACACTAGGTCGATTCCTCTGCTAGTGGACACATCTTACTAACACTAGGTCGATTCCACTGCTAGTGGACACATCTTACTAACACTAGGTCGATTCCTCTGCTAGTGGACACATCTTACTAACACTAGGTCGATTCCTCTGCTAGTGGACACATCTTACTAACACTAGGTCGATTCCTCTGCTAGTGGACACATCTTACTAACACTAGGTCGATTCCTCTGCTAGTGGACACATCTTACTAACACTAGGTCGATTCCACTGCTAGTGGACACATCTTACTAACACTAGGTCGATTCCTCTGCTAGTGGACACATCTTACTAACACTAGGTCGATTCCTCTGCTAGTGGACACATCAAGTGTATCATAAGCTCAGTAATCAGTGTGTCGGTATTAGTTACATGATTTAAATTTGAATTTTTCGAAAAAATAAGGATTTTCTTATCCCAGGAATAGATTACCTAAGCCGTATTTGGCACAACTTTTTGAATTTTGGGTACTCAATGCTCTTCAACTTTGTACTTGTTTGGCTTTATAACTTTTTTGATCTGAGCGTCACTGATGAGTCTTAGGTAGACGAAACGCGCGTCTGGCGTATTAAATTATAATCCTGATACCTTTGATAACTTATTATAACAAACCTTACTTAAACTCTCCGTTGATAACATTTTTGCGTAGGGCGTTCCTAATGAAGGTGAATCCAGAAAACATATCCAACTAAGTCAGACATCACGTGACTTTTGTGACGTATACCAGCCGCCATTTTGTATTATATTGCCCCATATAAAATGCATAGGTGCTTCAATAAAGTTGAGTTTTCTCATGAACCTGACCCGTTTTCTAACTTTTGCAAATCAATCCTTGATATTCAAACATATTTCTATCAAACAATGTTGGTCCTAACAGTTTAATTTTTGATTAAATTCTGTCACTGGAGAATCGTAAAAACATGTACTTTTTCTCGTTATTTCTCCGTTGACTCAATGCTAAATTACCGATACCCATGTCTACTTGTATAACAAATAAAGAAATTCCGTTAATAAAAATAAAACTTTGCAACTCGATTAAGTGTATTCAAACATATATCTGGCGAAAAATACTATTTAAAACAGTTTAATTTCTGGGCAATTTCGGTCAAAAATCGATTTAAAAAAGTGAATATTTCGGGATTTTTCAAAATGGCGGATGATGTATATGGAAATGTTGCATCAAATCGAGGATTTGTATAGTAAGACTTTCCTTGATTTAATTTAATTTTCATGTAGAATCTCTGATGTTTCTGTTATTTTCTTTGGTGATATTTCGATATGATTGATTTCAAAATTTATTGATTTAAATAAAAAAATATTATTTTAAGTGTGACACGGGAAAATTTTATTTTGACAGATATCCAGGATATACTGTTACCAGAAAATAGTTAACAATAAAATTTATGATAAAATTTTTTCTCTTCTTTTTTTAAAAGGTTTTTTTCCTGTTTTCTGTATAATTTATCTTTCTTTAGAAATATATTTATACATTCCTTTTAGAACAAAAAAATATTTACGTCCAAAGAGAGAAAAAAATCCCAACAATTATTATAGATAAATATTCCATACCTTCAAAATCCCATCACTTGACGAACAGGTGAACTCTGACTTTGGATGTAATGTTACATAACAATATATTGTCAGGTAGACGTGCAAACCAAAAGCAACCAGGTGACATTAAACATCCTGTGTATACATGTATTACCAGAGTTTAAATTTTGTGATATACAAAAGTTTTCATAACTGTACAAATAAATATCTTCTCTTCCCCGTGTCAAACCAGAAGAAGTATGTATCATAATAAACTTAAAGAAAATATGAATATTATAAAAAAAAATCTTCAAAAAAAAAATTTTTGCTTTAAAAGATAATCAAACTAATATTTATGTTTCTATGATTATTTAAAAAAAATATTTTGATTCAAATTTTAATTTAAATGGATTTTGTATTATTTCGTAAAAAATTAAACGAGATTTCATTGAATATGATTTTATTATTTATTTTTTTAATTCAATATTTTAAGCAAAATCCAGGCATTCAATAAATCGATATAAAGTTAAACTTGTGTAAAAAAATTTATTATTGTATACATTTCAACAGAGACATATAATACAATTGCTTTGATTTCAACAACATTGTATACCCGACAATATTTATCGACAGAGTTATCGGTCCTGAATAGGACTGATATAGTTGGGTATGAAAAACGCTTCGGACGCAACTAGTTTATAAAGTGTGATTTTTCATCATATCAAAGTAGATTACATAACATGGGGATATTCTGTGTTGCGCAGGTTACTTATTCATATGTTTCACCTTTGTTTACTTGAATTCTTATTGATAGTAACTAAATCTTTATTTTTGCGCTTAGAAAAAAAGTGGACTTTAATAATATAAAAAATATAATTTTGGTTAACCTGTGGTAATTTTCTCACAGGAGGTCAAGTCAGAAAATATTTTTGAAACGATTCATATACACATTGTCATTAAGACGATATTTTTATGATATCATTTCAAAAAATATTAGATTAAGAATTTCTAAATACATGTAATATTTTTATTTGGATATGTACACGTCATAGTTAAATGTATATTACAATACATAAACATGTGTACGGAACGTTAAATTTAAATAGACCACGGAAAGGTTTCCCAATAAATACCCTTTTTATACAAGTCTAACTCTAATGTGTGATGTGTATTATTTCACATAATTGTGTAAATATTTGTAAATATTCATCAATAGTTTTCAGTCATTTAGCGAAATTGTATAATTGATTTAAGAAAGCGTTATAAAAGGCATTTTTATTGTGATCAATGAAAAAGTTGATTTAAGCCAGTTATTCTATATATATTCGACATATTGTATTTGATAGTCAACCGTGGCGACAGGTATAAATAACGGACCATTTGAGCTCTCTTCCGAGTTTTGGCGGATTTTTAGTTGCTCAGTCTTAAGTTTTCTTTGGAAGGTTTTATGACCTCTTAAATTGACTTTCCTTTTGTTCTTTTGGTCCTAGTGTTGTTTGCTTTTTTCGATTCATGATTGAATTGCCAGTCGGTATCAATTTTCTCCTACTTTTTATTTAATTTTCATGCTACCGAGTTTTCTTGTTAATAAACATTGCTTGCATTTGAATAAATCCATTTTAGTCCTTAGAATAGACGACCTTAATTCAGTCTTATGTAGTATATTGTGCAATGTATAAATTATTAACATGATTTTATTTGTTTTAAAGACCTTTCATTCATTTGAAAGAAAAGTTATTTCAATTTATTTATTTGATTTTTGTTTAGTTTTATTGCCTTCGACTTAAGTATAGCTCATTGAACAGGATTTTAGAATAGTTTAATTTATCTTCATATTGTATTACAAATATTAAATCAAGTTTTATAATCAACATCTTTTTACTTGTTGACCAATAAACATGCAATGTGAAGTTTGACTAGAAATGTCAATATAAATGCATGATCTTGACTGGAAATGTCAATATAAATACATGCTTCCGAGTCCAGTGCTCACGGTATTTGGTTTGGAATCAAAAAGATTTGGTATCAGATTCCTGTTTTCTTTGACTATATGGTACTTTGATTAAGAATATGCATGCCTTAATTCCCAGTATACCTAATATGACATGTTGTCAACGTTTTGTTTTAGTTCGATTCATATAATTTAAATGGATTTACATCGATAAGCAGTTGCCTCTTATTCAATGGCAGTTTACATTGTTCGAGCTATTCAGTGTTGCTCGCTGTTTTCATGTCCGCATGTCTTTGCAAATACCTATATACTAGATTGTCTTTTATGTTATCGATGTTATGTGTTTCCTTTAGATGGAGTCTCTTTGGGAAATTATATGTTTTGCAAAATAGAAATCAGATTAGAAATAAGTCGGTTTTGGTTGTTTTCAATCTTTGCTGTGCGTCGTGGATTATTGCAGAAAAGAGAGGCGAAAGATACGATAGGGAAATTCACACTCCCAAGTCGAAAATAAACTGACAACGCCATGGCATAAAAACGAAAAAAAAGACCAAAAGACAAACACCAGTATATAAAACACAACATAGAAAAGTAAATACTGAGCAGCAATACGAACTCGACCAAAGCTCAGGGGTGTGCTTAGGTGATCTCATATTAGTTTCCTTTCAGTGTTTTATGGACTCTCATTTGCCTTTCTTCTTTTATCCATAATGTTGTCTGTTTTATTTGGACTAATGGTTTTTAATTGCCCTTTTTGAACATTATTTATAGTTCTGTGTTCCTGGCAGCAACAGTATATGAAGATAAGAATAATCAGTTTGATTTGTGGCGTATATAATCATACAACAACAAAATGTGTTTATATTTAACACACATATATACATATATAACAACTTTATTTTAAACATCATCTACAGTTCTGTATTACTGGCAGCGAAACAGCATATAAAGATAAGAATAATCAATTGTATTTGTGGCGTATAGAATCATACAACAACAAAATGTGTAATTTGCTGTTCATAAACGCGGAAACACATATAAATGCACGCAAAGTTTCCATTTTAGGAGTAAACAAAATGCGTAATAGATTACTTTAATCCTGGTGGTATATAAGACGTTTAAAAAATACAATGTTTCAGATTTAGTTTGGTATCTTGTAACTTTGTATTATTGATTGATTGCTTTTAATGGTCGAGGAAGCTGGAGTACCCGAGTAGAACAACCAACGTTCGGCACGTAAACTGATAATCGTATTCGATTAAGATTGTCTTGTTGAAATTTACTGTTGTAAGTTACGATATCTTCAAATCATCAAACAATAATGATAAAAACTTTTTGATGGTAATGAAAATTTTATTACAATAAATGCACGTTTATCAAACGAAAATTGTTGCATTTCAATAACCAAACATTCACAATTGCAAATCAGTATTATAACTGTTCATACTATATAACAGTCCGTAAAACATAGTTTATATATATATATATATATCCCTTTCATAAATATAATTAGCTTACAATAAAGCATAAATCAATGAATACATGTTTATATAAATGAAATCTTATCAACCAACCACTATGTACTTAGATTCTAAATATTACAGCTAAGTGTATAGACAGTTCAAACTAATGATCATGATTCATGGACGATAAAACATTCTCTAGTGCTGTAAAATTGGTACTGTTTATATTATCATATCTACTCTGTCATAGATTTTCGAAGTTCTTTGTCCTTGCCAGAATTCCTTGGAACAATTTTGATGTAGATGTAAATGTAGAATACGGCAAACAAGGAAACATTCCAATTATTCTTAGTATGTAAGTTGAAAATTGTCTCCTGATGGTCATATTAGGGCATATGGAATCCCATTGTAGGTCACTGTTAGTGCCAGAGTTCATGGCTCAAATCGTATACTTTGTTTCGCACTAGGACAAACTAAGAGATGTTGATATAACATTTTCTGTAACTTTGCCTTTTCTGCACGGAGATTCCTAATTTCATTTGACTTCTGTGTGTTGTCTGCTTCCAGTTCTTGTATTTTCTGCAATGATAACTTTAGTTAAAAGCTACAAATCTGATGATATTTTAAAACTTATAAATATTTGCTTTTATATATGCCTGATAGATCGTCAGAAACTGCCGAAAGTTAAGAAATTTAAAAATTACTTATTAGTTAAAACACAATTTTTAACCCTTTTTACAAATATTTACAACTCTGTTATTTTCAATACCTATAGATATTTCAAATTTGTTTAATTACAATTTCATAAACACAAGTTTAAGTTTTATCAAAGGCAAATCTTATATTCTTCAAATACTATTTTGAAGAATATACTGATATATCCATTCACACGTACCTTGCAAAGTGATGTTGAATTATTTTTCTTTCTATCACGGAATCTCTGTGCTGCCAGTCTATTTTGTTCACGACGTTTAACAATTTTATCACGTTCTTCCTCTGTAAGCTGAAACAAAGTATTTGAAATTCAATGACAATTCTTAAATAATTCATAAAACTCTTCCTTTGTAGTTGCTTCGGTGCCTTTTAAAACTGCAGATTAAAACTTTCCGATTCCATCATATGATATACCCTGTCTATTTCGTTCATTCTTTAGTAGTTTTTTAGAATTTGGATGCGTTAATGAAAGAACTTTTAATTTGAAACATTCTTTTTGCTTTTTGTATTGAGAGAATTTAGTGATTTCAGACCCCTTACCGTTGCCGTTAACTTTTTTTGCCAGTTGTCTAGAGTATGGACGATCAAAAACTTAGATCCGTTATAAAGATCCTTTGCTATTGCTGTAAACAGTGTCCGACCCCATTCGTCACAACTCGGCCGATTCCGTACCTTCATCTAAGATAGAAGGAGAGTAGCGGATTCACCCGAGGATTGCCGATTGTGTCCGACCCCAGACCATTACATGTGTTTAAGGTTTTTTGTATCATTAGATTGCCTTTTGTTTGGCATAAACTTATGTGTTTACAATTAAACCCTCCAACACGCTTTCCCAAAATTTGACCAAATAATATAAAAACATCTTGTCAGCGGTCTTGAAAATTACATTATCGTCAATCTTCCAATTAGCTAAGGCAAATTAAGATTACTGATGTTCTAATATCATTAATTGCCAAAGAAGACAAATGAAGGTTACAAACAATAGCTAAACCTGTCTTTCCGTGTCCGAAAGATGGCTACTAAATATCCGATTTCATTACATCTCCTCACCGGTCCTGTTAACGGCTTTAAAATCCATAGTTTTCTGTCATTGATAAATTGTATACAATGTGTGTTATGAAGTTAAATCATTAAAAAGTAAAATAACAAAAATACCGAACTCCAAGGAAAATTCAAAACGGAAAGTCCCGTATCAAATGGCAAAATCAAAAGCTCAAACGCATTAAACGAATGGAAAACAACCGCCATATTCCTGACTTGGAACAGGCATTTCCTTATGTAGAAAATGGTGGATTAAACCTGGTTTTATAGCTAGCTAAACCTCTCACTTGTATGACAGTCGCATAAAATTCCATTATATTGACAACAATGTGTGAACACAACAAACAGACATAATAGGTAAAAATGTCAAAAATAGGGGTACAGCAGTCAACATTGTGTTATAATCTTAATCACTATAAAAACAAACAAATATATCAACAAAGAAAAACAAAACGGCATATAGACAAAGCACAAAAATGAATTAACCTACTTCATGCTTTGTTTCTTCTAGAAATTCTACTTTCATTTCGTGTTAACCTACCTCATGCTTTGTTTCTTCTAGAACTTCTACTTTCAGTTCGTGTTATCCGTGTTGAAGACCGTACTTTGACCTATAATGGTTTACTTTTTTAAATTTTGACTTGGATGGAGAGTTGTCTCATTGGCACTCATACCACATCTTCTTATATCTACATAACCTACCTCATGCTTTGTTTCTTCTAGAAATTCTACTTTCATTTCGTATTAACCTACCTCATGCTTTGTTTCTTCTGAAGTTTAAATGTTAACCTACTCCTGCTTTATTTCTTCTGAAGTTTAACTGTTAACCTACCTCATGCTTTGTTTCATCTGGAAATTCTACTTTCATTTCGTGTTGGCCCTTTGCTAATCGTCTTGACTGAATTGTACATTTTAACTCTTCTTTTATCAGTGGCGCCATGTTCCCGGTTCCCAATGCTAGAAGTGTTGCAACTTCCAAATTGTTGTTGCCGTTTGCCATTTTAAACAGTATATTTTCTTCAAAGTCACACACATAAGAATTATCAAACATCTTGTCAAACTCTGTAAAAAAATAAGTTCTATAAAGTACTAGTAAATATATACGATGATGATCATGTATTCAAGGGTTACTGCCTAAAACATGTTCTTAATTTGAATATACATAGCTTCAAATTGACAAAACTGTATACATCTTGATTGAAATTATACTTCGTATACTTATTTCATAGTTATCAAACCTTCTAATAAAGATATTAACTCAGCATATACTATTGCGACTTACCTTTTAAACGTTTCACATAACGTCATGTCTATTTATAAATTTTCGCTTACTCAGGAAAATCAAACGCATGCGCAGATCTTACTTCAATAAAATGCTTCGCTGGGGCGCAGCTTGATACGACCGCAGAGGTCGAACCCTGAACAGTTGGGGCAAGTATGGACACAACATTCAAGCTTGATACAGCTCTGAATTTGGATTGTTATTAAATATTTGACACAGCATAGGTTTCTGACACAGAAAGAATGTGGTCTAAGAACTTGAATTTTTTTAATTTACCTATTATGGTCCAATGTCCAAAATCAAAATACATGGTTAGATTCAGCATATCAAAGAACCCCATATATTCAATTTTTGTTAAAATCAAACAAAGTTTAATTTTGGACCCCAACTTGGACAAACTTGAAAACTGGGCCAATAATCAAAAATCTAAACACATGTTTAGATTCAGCATATCAAAGAACCCCAAGAATTCAATTTTTGCTAAAATCAAACTAAGTTTAATTTTGGACCCTTTGGACCTTAATGTAGAACAATTTAAAAAACGGGACTTAAAATTAAAAATCTAAATACACGGTTAGATTTGGAATATCAAAGAACCCCAATAATTCAATTTTTGATGAAATCAAACAAAGTTTAATTTTGGACCCTTTTGACCTCAATATGAACCAATTTGATAGCGGGGCCCACAAATAAAAATTCTAAATTCATGGTTAGATTCAGCATATCAAAGAACCCCATATATTCAATTTTTGTTGAAATCAAAAAAAGTTTAATTTTGGACCCCAACTTGGACCAACTTGAAAACTGGGCCCATAATCAAAAATCAAGACACATGTTTAGATTCAGCATATCAAAGAACCCCAAGAATTCAATTTTTGTTAAAATCAAACTAAGTTTAATTTTGGACCCTTTGGACCTCAATGAAGACCAATTTAAAAAACGGGACCCAAATTAAAAATCTAAAAACACGGTTAGATTTGGCATATCAAAGAACCCCAATAATTCAATTTTCGATGAAATCAAACAAATTTTAATTTTGGACCCTTTTGACCTCAATATGAACCAATTTGATAGCGGGGCCTACAAATAAAAAATCTAAATACATGGTTAGATTCAGCATATCAAAGAACCTCATATATTCAATTTTTGTTGAAATCAAACAAAGTTTAATTTTGGACCCCAATTTGGACCAACTTGAAAACTGGGCCCATAATCAAAAATCTAAATACATGTTAAGATTCAGCATATCAAAGAACCCCATACATTCAATTTTTGTTGAAATCAAACAAAGTTTAAATACTGGACCCTATCTTGGACCAACTTGAAAACTGGGCCCATAATCAAAAATCTAAACACATGTTTAGATTCAGCAAATCAAAGAACCCCAAGAATTCAATTTTTGTTAAAATCAAACTAAGTTTAATTTTGGACCCTTTGGACCTCAATGTAGACCAATTTAAAAAACAGGACCCAAAATTAAAAACCTAAATACACGGTTAGATTTGGAATATCAAAGAACCCCAATAATTCAATTTTAGATGAAATCAAACAAAGTTTAATTTTGGACCCTTTTGACCTCAATATGAACCAATTAGATAACGGGGTCCACAAATAAAAAATCTAAATACATGGTTAGATCAGCATATCAAAGAACCCCATATATTCAATTTTTGTTGAAATCAAACAAAGTTTAATTTTGGACCCCAATTTGGACCAACTTGAAAACTGGGCCAAAAATCAAAAATCTAAATACATGTTTAGATTCAGCATATCAAAGAACCTCATATATTCAATTTTTGCTAAAATCAAACAAAGTTTAATTTTGGACCCTTTGGACATTAATGTAGACCAATTTGAAAACTGGACCCAAAATTAAAAATCTAAATACACTGTTAGATTCGGCATAACAAATAAATAAATGTGATCAAAGATTTTACAAATCTAATGCGCCATACTGTGCAATTAAAGATTACTTCTTGAAATTTTTCAATATTTGAAATTTGAAAAAAAAATAATATTTGAAGAATAATTCTTTTTAATTTCTGAAATCTGAAATGAGAAAAAATTGGCCCCCCACAATTTCTTTTTATCCCCCCCCCCCCTTTTTCCCCCAAAAAAATTCTTTCCCTCAAGATATGGTCATAATCTCAATTCAAATTTCCAATGGAGTTGGCAACCATAATTACCCATTTAAATTTACCATAGTGCTAACTTCATCTATTTTATAATAGAATTAATAAAAATATAGTGTCAAATCTTTCATATGGATTTTTTTGTAAAAAAAAAAGATGAAAACATTTGCAGATATTTTTACTGGTCTTCCTTTATAAATATGCATTTCTTTAAACATAATTTAAAAGCAGTGTAAGGGAAGTAACCAAAACGTTGTATTTGGATTACCTCCCTTACACTGTTTTAGATTATCTTTATTGTTCATTAACCATTACTTTATACATAATTTAAAAGCAGTGTAAGGGAGATAATTTCAATGATGTATTTGATTTATCTCCCTTACACTGCTTTAAATTATGTTTTGTACTAAAGTATTTGTCCATTAACCAGGACAACCTTGTTTTTCCCCCTTTTTTGCCCCTAATTCCTAAACGGTTTGAACCATAACCCCCCAAAGCAAATCCTAACCATCCCTTTGTGGTATGGAAACTTGTAGTATAATTTCAGAGAGATCCATACACCGTTCCACAGTTATTGTTTGGAAACTAGAAAATGCTCATTTTTGGCCCCTAATTCCTTAACTGTTGGTACCATAACCCCCAAAATCAATCCCAACCTTCCTTTTGTGGTATTTAACCTTATGGTCAAATTTCAAAAAGATCCATTCACTTAAACTAAAGTTAGAGTGCGAAAACCAATATGTATTCGGACGACGACGCCGGACGACGACGACGACGACGACGACGACGACGACGCCAACGTCATACCAATATACGACCACAAAATTTTTTTGTGGTCGTATAAAAATGATATGGCGCAAATTGGTATATGTAACCTACTTTTTTTTTAATCTAGAGACGACATGATGGTTTATTTATAGATCTAAAAGGAAAGGTAATTTTCAGATATCTTTAAAAATTTCGTAAATCACGTCAAACGTATCGAGGTCGTATTTTTGATTTTGATATATATTAACTCTGTCAAGTTTGGTGGTTTTATACCAATACCGATACGTACACTGAAGTAGAGATGATGACAAATAACGCTAAATGATGACTTAAACTCACAAATTCCATAAAACTATAGAAATTATGTGCTGTATCATCGCACGGAAATTAAAAAGTTAGTCAAAAAGAAATCAACCAATAATAATACTCATGAATAATAATAATAATAATTTGTTTTACTGTAGCAAGAGAATATTATAAATACCTTTTAATACTAGTCGTAAATATTTCAAATTACGTCATATCTTAATATATATATTTCCACTTACGCAGCATTTTTCAATCGCATGCGCAGACCAAGGTTTGTTGAAAAGGTTTATTGGTATACACGTGATACGCAAGTCACGTGTTCGAGAGAAAAGTTAAGGGTGCAAAAAATCAACTTTTGAAATGACTTAGTATATATTGATTCAAAATGTCAAAAAGGAAGTTATGTATCTCAAAAGAAAAATCGTACAATATACTTCAAATTAGTTTTTTAATTAAACATATGGTTTACTAATGACAAATGAACAATGCCAAACTATGACACGCGAAATCTACACAACCTGATTAAAATATATATTTATACTGTATTTTTTTTTACCTCTGACGACGTCAGTAATTCGCCTAGGAAATGTTATTTTCATTTATATCATTAGGTCGATACCACTACTGGTGGACTTCAAGTCTCCGGGGTATCATCAGCTCAGTAGTCAGTGCTTCGGTACTGACATGATTTATAACATACTTTATTAAACTATACATTTATAAATTTCGCAATTATAAAGCAACAAAGGTTGCAACTACCTCAGGATTAATTGACCTTAGATGGATTTTGGCAATTCTTTTTCGTCCCTTTTAGTCATATAGCTCGTCATGTAATCAAGTACGTATACATCCTTGACTTTCAAATTTTTGGGTAAGAGCGTTCATGATGAAGATAAATCCAGAAAAGCGCTTCGGACGCACTAAATTTAAAAAAGTGTTTTTGTTTTTCATTTTCTAGCATTGGTTCGATACCGCTGCTGGTGGACTGTTAGTCCCAAAGGCTTATATCAGCTCAGTAGTCAGTGCTTCGGTATAGACATGATTTATTAAATACATTTCTTAATTTCGCCGTTTATAAATTTATAAATTATCAAGAAACTGAGGTATCAACTCTTTCAGGATATAACCTTAGATTGATTTGGCTATATTTTTTTTATCCCATTTGGTCATATACAGCACTTCACGTATTCAACTATTTATACATCTTTGGCTTTTAAATATTTGGGTTTTAGCGTTCCTGGTGGTTGTAAATCCAGAAAGAGAAACCAAATTTATAAAGTGTATTTTTCAGTGTCTTATACTATCAATTTGAATCAAAGTATTTCTCAAAGTATAACTATATTATTTCATGTTTTACAACTCAAATTATATTCAGTAAGAGAGGAAGTTTAAATTAGATTTCATCAAAAAGTTTTCTAGCATTTTCTTTAATGATAACTTTTCGTTACCTTTTATTTATACCTGAAATGTACACAAGTATTTTGGTTAGTTTGTAAGATGAAGGTTATTCAATGATGTATGTACGTATGTAGTTAACGCATTATGTGATCTCTGGTAGATAGATGTCTCATTGGCAACCATACCACATCTCCTTATTTTATATCATATACGTTGACTCCATAGTATGCCAAGTACTTTTTAAGATATAATTTTGGTAAGAATAATAAGTATTCAAAACTCCTATATGAACTCCAAAATGGAAAGTTTTATAAACTGGTATTAATGGTATAATTTGACTTTTGGTTTATATTGACAAATGTGTTGCGTAAAATAATTGCATCCTTCTATTTAGCACTACTCTTTACTCGGGGAAAATGGAAGTTCGATCTTTTTTTTTGGTAGGGGTTAGTAGCTGTATCAGCTGGTACCAAACCCTCATTATAAATTTTAAGGCTTGACTATGTGTACCTTATATATACAACAGTAATAGCAAAAGTAAATAATATTTTATCAAACATGTCATCTCTATGTTGCTACCCATCATATTATATGAAGCAAGGAAAGTTGATTTACTCTTTCGGCTTATCCCAACCCCTCAATACATTTGAAGTGCCAAATCTAAGGCGATCGGACTTTACTACCAAGAAGTCAGCGGAATAGTGTGAATTACCATATATATAGGCTACGGACGTACATTTAATATATGAAGGTAGTCAATTTAAAAAATGCAGTCGAGTTATGCTCAACAACTCATATAATATATACCCCGGCAACGTGCACATTTCATACATGTTATATTCAATATACAGTAACATATATTTGAAACATTGATTTTTTAGATGAAGAATTATTAAGGCTAACTTACATTTTTCTGCCGTTTCTGATGAAATAACCGTCAATGTTTAATGTGTATATGGCACGGGATTACAACGTAGTTTAGTATGTGTGAATGAGCTTTAGAATCATAATGTGAATAATGTACAAGTCCATCAAATGGTCATACTTTTTTTTATATATTTGAAAAGTTTCATAGTCATAAGTATGTATATAGATGACGACAGAGAAATATATGTCCCCGATCTTTAATGTATATATATCATAGCTCTTAAAAGTATATACTATTGTATTCAGAATTAGAAAATACTTAATTACATTTTTAATGGTATATTAAGAAAATGGTATTTGGAAATATACACTTACATTGTTTCTTTTGAACATAAGCTTTAATAGGTCTGGATCGTTTGAAATTGCCTCGCATTGTGTAATACGTAATTAAAACGTTCAGTATTTATATTACCGTGTGAGGATTCCCATGGAAAACACCTTTTCTATAAATAACTTATAGATTAGATCATTTTATTTAGAACTTGTTTAAGAATGTCATATTGGCCAAAACAGATTAAGACATTCTATAAAACAAAATTGAAAATACATTTCCAATTGTAAGCCTCTTATACAGCAAATCCAAATTTCATTTAGCCGATATCTGCTGAAGATCCATTGATTTATTGATAAACTCCATGCGGACCTACTGAACAAATATTGAATCTCGAAAATCATGACACTGCACCAGTGGCGGATTCAAAGGGGTTCCAGAAGTCGGGACCCACATTTTTGTTGGGCAACTAATGCTTTTGTATGGGGACATATGGTTGGATCCCCCCTTTTTATATGACTTGCATGTTTTGTAACCCCCCTTTTCACAAAGTTTAAATGGCTGATTCGGCGCCTGTGCACTGAGTTAAATAATTTATAATCAATATTTATTTACATCTTAAGTTATATCAAATATATAAAATATGGTTGTTATACATACATATTTGTGTTGACCATTTTGAAATAATATAAATGCAGAGCTCTCCATGTTGTATTTAATTAAATGTAAGTACCTATACAAGTGTTTTTTCATCGTCTTTACTTCTGTTTTCTGTATTTGAACAACACTGCCTATAAGAGGATTACCATTTGATTTTCTGGGGGTCCGGAGGATTTTGAAAATAAATATCCGGGCCTGGTAACAGCTGAAAATAAATAATGTTTTGCCCACGACAGGATGGAAATGAATATTCTTCAACACAAAATTAAGGAAATATAATTGAGTGAAAATAAGTTTCCGAAAATGAAAAGTCAGTCCTCCAAAAAACCTCCTGGCCTCTCTCAGAATAGCAATTGGTCGTCCCCTAAAGGTGTACAATTGGCAATGAAAATCGTAAAACAATTCAAACGAGAACTCTAACGGCCTGGTTTATATTCAAAACAATAAACATGATAACGAAAAAAATACGTCTACTTGTGAACCATCATTGAAACTTTAATTTCTATTAATCTGTTTGTTTGAATGTTTGTTTGTATGTTTGTTTTATAGGAGTAAACAAATAAGACAAGAAAGGAGCAACATAAAAAATAAACATATGGGGTCTTAATCAAATGTTTTAGAAGACAAAAATCGTAGCATGGACTTTGTGTGCGTAGTTTTGTTGATTTCATATCCCATTAAATTTCTTAGACTCTGAAACTCTGTAGTGAATGTTATTTGTAACAAAAACCAAAATGGTAAAAGATACACCTCTGTTGATTGTTTATTTAGTGTATAATTTATGTTTCTCTATATAAAATGACAGCTGACGTTTTTGATGAAATTTCATATCTGACAATTTGGGCTAAGAACTATAAATCAATTTCTGGTATTACAGCATAATTTGAAATATGATGTATAGGTATTATCATTTAGTCACTCATCAGTTCAGCTAAGTTTTTATTTTTTGTGTATTGATTTGGGGACTGTCGTTGGTCTTTTCGTTGTTTTCGTTTTTCGCCATGACTTTATCTGTTTTCTCTTCTACTTTTGATTCTCTTATCGGTATCTCCCACCTCTTTTTAATCCTCAGGATGACATAATTTTTCTATACTAGAGTATTGAATAAAAAAAATGTCAAACAAATAAGAATAGAAGTACCGGACTTGTTATAGTTTGTTCACTGTTATGAAAATTATACAAGATAATATATATTTATACTGACCCAATTATCTGTTTACGCAAACGAATTCGAAATTTATTGATGAAAGCCATCCATTGGTGAGCATCAACTCAGCAAAAAACAGGTTTTTTTTTATGAATGTTGTACTGTGTTTATTGAATGAGCTTATGTCTCATATGAATAATATTTGACTTTATATTAAAAAAAAGAAGATGATATATGATTTCCAGTGAGAGAACTATCCACTAGGGTTCAATGGACGAGGATGTGAATAACTTTAGGCTCGAGACTTTAGGTCACCGTACGGATATCAACAATAAACAAACCCCGTGCCGTATTGTAAGCTATAAAAAGTCCCAACGTGAAAAAATCTAAATAAATCCAAAGGAGAAAAACCAACGGCGTGATTTATACCAAAAGTTAACCTATTTAATAAATAATCTACATTAAACTTTGTACATGTTTAACTTAGATTGATGTTTTTTGTTTCTGTTTCGTTAAGTTAAAATAGCGTTTATAGAATGAACATTTCATTATTGAAGCGTGACAAAGGTGTAGCCTAAGTTCATTAGCAGACGACAAAAACAGGCTTTAAGTTTAAAAAAAAATATAAACATGCCAATGTTGAGACCAAAAAATCATAATTACTCGCAGTTCAAAGATATATCAAAATCTAACTAAATTCAAGAGATTAAATTTAAAACACCCTTACTTTCGATTTTTCCAAAAGACTTTCCAAAAATCTTACAACTCTATACATCATCATGAAAATAGAAATGAAATATTCTACCTGGTTACCACTTTCATATGAAGTTTTGGTCAAACCGAGTTTGACCAGAACCGCAAAGACAACCACAAAGGTTACCGAGTGGACTCGAGTATAGAAAAATGGTCATCCCTGAAATTTTCTAGTTCGGCAGCAAAACTTATGCTATGAGGGGCGTGTGTTTGGCTGTGTCTGGGGTGTATAAATACATAGCCACGTCTAAAAAATGGGGATATTGAATCCGATGCCTCGTATAGGTAGCGTGCGCTCTCTGAATGTTAAGGTGCCCTTGGAACAACTATTTGAATGGTATGTAGGAAGAACGGTGCAAGTCAAAATGTTTGCCCCTATCCAACAATTCCTTCATTTTGAAAGGCAGTCTAAATTCCCACTGTTAATCGGGGACTTCTTTGCAGGCCCACCTATTGGATTTAATGATAGTTTAATGAAATAGTTGCGGCTGGAGTTAAGAAGACAACAATAAATCAAATTTATGACTATACTTAACTTAAATATGTTTTGTAAAAGACAGAGTGCGGTAAGAGATTAATTTGGCAAATATCTTAATGTAAAATTAGCCAAATTATGTGTTCAAATTTTTCAATTTTGTCATTTTGTGTTAGAAAATAAATCTAAATTATGTTATTGTTCATGAGAATGAAACTTTCCACCTGAGGATAGTACACCGAGGACAGGTCCTAATCTAAGACAATACTACACACCAGAGGAAGTAAACCGCAACTTTTCTTCTTTTACACACAACACTTCGAGAGATTGGAACCACTTCCCAGAGACAGTAGCATCTGCTAAAAAAACTGCAGGAGTTTAGGGCTAGATAGGCCATTGTGTCCTGGACTCTAGAAATTTGAAATTCAAATTCAAGATCTCTATTTGTGTCTGTTTTAAAGATGAGGTGATGCATAATCTAAAATAGGTAGGTTCAAATTCTAAACTTCATGATAAATGTATTTGTGGCGTCATGAAAAAGGTCCTTCTAATCGTTTTTGTTTGAAAAAAAGAAGAGATTTTTGTCAATTTTTATTTTACTGTTTTTTCGACCCGCAAATGAAGAGTACATGCAAGTACCAATAAATAATTTACTATGATGTTTGTCTTTATGAATGACAACTCTCATGCCGAAATACTTATGTTGACACTTGCATGTGCTCAATATTTCAGACTCGCAAATTTGTGTCAAAATATGCATTATTTAGTTTTGTAGAATATTTGAAAGTTCGTACGATTTAAAGTTGCATATACATATCAATTATCCTTAGCCTCGAAATCACCTTATTTTGTATTACTTCAATTTTCTGTCCAAATATGCACATCCTCCTTTTAAACAAATACAATCCTGTTTTTTTACGTCCCAAAAACTTTTGGTCGTATGCTGCATAGGTCTTCTTCCGATCATCAACAATTTCGGTTTGTTTTTCTTAATCTTTACTTTTCCGCGTGATGTTATATGGGCAGTATAGTTGGTGTGTTCGTTCTTTCCTTCTATTCAATAGTATATTGATTGCATTCTTGGTAGCTTTTTATTTTGATAAACAGAATAACTTAATTAATCATACAAATTTTGTTCGGAATAGTCTAAGATTATATACACCGTAAAAAAATGTTAAAATTTCGTAACTTTAATATATTGATATTGGGATCTCTGGCTGATCGGTTCTGACTAAATTTATAAACAAACTGAGTAATGCATGTGTATTTAACCGATATTTAAACGGTTTTGGTCCATTGTAAATTTTAAAAGGCAATAAAAAAACCAGACCGTAACCTTTCTTTACAACATACTTTTCAGATATCGATCCTAATTTCTCGTCTAATACGATCAATATTAGTTTTCTTGCATAAAAACTAGAATTCTGTCATATCCATATAAGGTGCCCAGGACTTTATATCCATATCCAGTGTTATCTGTTAAATGTCCAAATATAGCGTTCAAGTCCACCGTGAGCTTTTATATATTATCTCATATACTAATACATGTACCTTTTATTATCCAAATATGGTGTTGTTAGACAAATCACCGCATAATTAGATTCCTAAAGAAAAACAACAATCCGTAGCAAGTACATGTCTATATCAACATAGTAATGACTCAAAGGTAAAAGTGTACCATTGCTTATATGATTTTCACGCTGTACAAAAATGTTTTGTATATAAGAATGTCCGTTTGCATAAAGCAGAAAAATTATAATGCCAGAGCCATCGAGATGGACAAACTAGCAAATGTTATTTCAACGTTCTAGCAAATATTATTTCAACGTTCTCTCGAAATCTGGCTTTTCTTCAGACATCAATAACATTATCAGATCCCGTGTCTTCAATTTTCTAAAAACTTTAAGTAAGATGAAAAGTTTCATTATAGCAAAGCAAAATTGTGAATGCGCTATATTCAAAGTTCACGAATTGTTCATAGCGTAAACGGTACATATGACACGCGCATGCATTTATAAGGTAAATGGTTTAGGAACGGATCCATGATTATTGAAAAGAGGGAAGCGTAATTGCATAAAACTGAAT